AAAAGAAAAAAAAGAGAAAACAAAAAAAAAGAGTTAGAAAGATGGTGATGCTGGGCATTTCAGTAGTATAAGCCAGGCTTAAAACAAGCATGGCACTTACTGATAATGCAGGAGAGAGTCTGGCAGGGAAGCAATATCGTTCCCTTAACAGTATCACACTTGAAACTGAGTTTCGTAGTGCAGGTTGTGAAAGTAGGCTTGTGATTTCTTGTAGACTCAATAATATATATGAGCACCCTATGTAAAATTCATAAAAGTAATTTTCTTTCCTGTGGCTAAACAGCAGGCTTCAGTGTGTGTCAGGCTTCAGTAACGTTTGAAATCTGTGCAAAGCATGTTTTGAGCATTAACAATATTTATTTTTTCTATTCACACGGGTCCATGATGGCCCGTTTCAAGTCAGCCCTATTATAGCTGTTGAGGAGTCTGGTGCAAGGTGTATCAAAGTCTGTGAGGAGCTGTATTTTGATGAACATGAGGGGAGTAAAATCTTGCATAGTTAGGTATTGGCTGGTGTTCTAAAACAATAGATTTGAATGAAAAAAAGGTTTGGCTGGTGTAACTCAGTTGCAGAAGATGGATATTCATACTCCATTCCACTCTCTTTAATGTCAGTTTCTGGAAAAGTGTGTCTACACAGCATCCTTAGGAAATCAAGATTTTTTTAGTGATTTTCCTAAAAAATATGTACATTAGTAAGCTACACCTAGGGATCTGTGCTCTCACTTACTCTCCCTCTTTTAGGGATCAAGGATTCATGGTATACTTTTTTTCCTTCTATAAATGGGCAGATGTTTTCGTTTTGTTTGTTTTTTTAATCCATTAAAACACTGTCTTCCTAAAATAAAATTTCCACCAGAATAGTGTGACAAGTACTCTTATTTTAATCTCTTTTTATTACAAAATCTTGACATTTTAATATTTCAGGGGTTGATAAAGTGATTATCCCATATGCTCTCCTCTCCCTGCTCATAATGTAGCCTCATGCAGAACAACGACTGGAATCACAGAAGAGTTGGCTTTTCAGGAAAGACATAGTGTTTAGAAAATGTGGTTACCTTTATTATTCAAATTTACACCAAAATGCTTCTGTTTTCCTCCCAAATATGTAGATTTAACTAAACAGGTATCCTTTTACCTCATGTTGCTGACTCCATTGTGGAAAAATTTTGTACTGTGTATTAGAGCTTGTATGAACAACTGGTTCTATTTTGCAGTGTGATTCCCCGCATGTCCTCCAAGGGATATAAAATGTCATCTCTCTCCACTTTGCCCCAGATGGAAAGGAAGTTTTATGAATAAAACCATTGCTTTTGTATATAAAAGTCCAAATTATCATCAAGTTAGCACAGTAAGGACCATGTTTAACTGAGTGGTTTGCAGAGTAGTGCACTGTCTCTCTTGAGGAACAGCAAAGAGAAAGACCAGTATTCCTCAGGGTAAAGAAAATATAGGTAAAAAGCATAAGTTGTTATTGAAATGCTGGTGTAATTATCCTAGGTGAGTAGAATATTAAGTAAATAGAAAAAAATAATAACCTAAAAGCCCCTGTGAAAGTCATGAAAAGAGCAAGAGTTGTGGAAAAAGGATTTTAAGAATAAGGTTTGATTTAAGCCATTTGGGAGACTGAGTGTACACAGGTCAGGTGTACAAGGAGGAAGGCATCAGGGTACCAACATCCATCTGGAGTTCATTGCTTAGCCTTTCTCCACAGGCTGGACAGTTCCTTTAGCAGCCATGTCTAGCAAGTGTTCTTGTCTCTCATTTAGCCTCACATTCCAGTTTTGGGAACTAGGCAAACAATAGGCATCATGTGTCTAATTGCAAAAGTCATTTAATAACTGTGGGAACAGGGAGGCAAGAGAGCATATGGGAGGGGAAAGAGGGATAGACCCCTTCTCATGTTCACCTATGAATTTCATAGCCAGAAATAAAGGAAGACAGCCCTGTTGGATCCAAACAAACCATGTTCCTTCAGCCAGAATTGTTCACTTCCTGTTCTCTTGTTAGCAAAATATTTGTGGTGCTTGAAGGCAGCCAGGGTTTGCTGCCTCAGGGCTGATGCACGGTTTAATGCAAGAGCTTTGGGTGTCACTTGGTGTACAAAAGGCCTGAGTCAGCCACAGGGAAATGTTTACCCCTGATATTTGGAGGCTTTAGCCCCATTATATGAGTAACACGTGAGATTCTGTGTTTTGTGATATACCTTTCCCAAAGTACCAGTTATTCTCCTCGACTTCCTTCTTTAAAGCTGAAGCTCTCAGTCTTGCACAGTTCTCTTGACTCGGTAGTGACTCTGCTGTAGAATTTCTTCTTGCTTCTACAGTCCTGAGGTGCAGAACTAATTTAAAGAACTGTGCATCCAGTTGGTTACCTTGAATGCACAAGCAAATACTGAAACAAATATCCAAAGACCTTAAAGCATTCAGATTTAGAAATGCATCCTAAAGCAATGGGGAACAACTCTTGGCTGATTAAGGAATTCCATTGGGAAGTTTGTTTGAAAAAAATGTAGATGTCTTGCTGATTTACCCATAGTCTAACTCAACCATAATACACCAGGTGTCAGGTTTAGAATAGATTTTATGTATCCAGCTTCCTTGAAACATATTTTCTTCATTTTCCCATAATTTAAGTATTTTATTTTTCTGCACCCTAAGAGTACATAACAGCCACTGCTTTTCCATGGCAACGCCTGTTTCCAGAATTTGTCATCTGGTGTTTCATGGGTTTTTTTCCTCTCTTTTTTTTCCCCCTCCCTCTTCACTCTTCTCCCCCCCAGCAGCTCTAACATTGCTCATTCTGCATCCATTTTGACTTCAGTCAAATGAATGACATTTTCTTTATTGCACATCAAATATTTTAGTAGGTCTGTATTCCAAGCCTTCTGCAGTTATACAGTTAATTAAGTTGGATGTATTCCTCTTTGCATGGGGGACAATACTGATTCTCGTGAACTATTAATGGAATACTATAATCTTACAATTTTTGCTAGTGTGGTATTTTTTTATATGACATTATTTAAATATGTTTTCTGACTGAAAATGTAAAACTTCTGTTCTTTAGACAATATAAATCATACCAGCCATGATTAATTTAAAAGACTAAGCAGCCAATAACTTCTTGTCTATAGTTTAGCAGCCTTTACAGTTTAGAAGCTTTGTTTATTTTTGCCTATGGAAAAACCAGAAAATGGTAAATTTCTATGCAAAAGAAACATACACATAAAAAATATCATTAGTTAGCAAATAACTGCTAAACAATGCTTTTTTAGTCCTCTTGCTCTTCCTCCCAAGTTTCTTCCTGCTGCAATTTTAGAAGTACTAAGTCTTGCCTTTTTTAATGTGGGTTTTCTTTTCTTTTCAACTGTTGCCCTAGAAACTGCTGTCCTGAGGGTAATACAGGCCCTCAGTGTGGACATCATCCCAGGACCAAAGGGATACTGGTAGCAGGAAGAGTATTCCCTTGAACTTAGGGGCATGAGCTCTTACACCATGGGAGTTAGAAGGCCATGAATTGGTTTCTGTCAGAAGCTGTGGCTAGAGGCAAGAATTTCTCTAAGCTCAGATAGTCAGCCTTTGGCCAGTGGAGACTTCCAAGTCCTCTAAATTGTCAAGTGTTGAGGAAACTTGGATCCCACCTGGAGCCTGTAGTGGGCATTGCAGTTCCTAGGCTCCACAATCTCTGTTTCCTGAGGAGCTGTCATGCCTATTTGTGGATAGACCAGAGAATCAAAGAGTTGAGGATTCAGCTGCTAAGAGTCATGTTGTAGATTAAAATACCACGGAATTTAAAAATAAGTAGGAAATGTGCTAAAATTCTGATTAGGCAACAGCAACTCATCATCAGTAGAATCTATGTTCTCTAGAAGTCAAATGGGGTTGAGTTTGGCTCCAGAATGTCGGGTTTTATTTTGAAATAAGCAAAGATCTCATCATCCTTTTAGCCCATTCTGTAAAATGAAAATATTATCCACATTTTTTCCCTCAATTTCTTTTCTCATCCTAGGCACTGAAAAATATTGAGAAAGCCCAACACAAGCAGAAAATTAGAAAATTAGATTGATGTCAGTCAGTCATAGGCAAAGCAGGTAATTTGACCCCTCTGGTGGTGAATGCTGCAATTCCTGTGAATATTGCATTCCTGTCAGTCTGTTGTACACCCCCTCAGCAAGTGACTGCATTGCTAGCATGATGTTACCTTAGTGTGTTACAGCACACTAAGGTCTGTGCTGTTCTGCCAAGGTATTATTTGAGAAGGAATTAACTGTTCTATTACAAGGTGGGTGCGGTTAGTCGCTGGATTATGGGGAAGTATTTCAAAATCATACTTGGTAGTCAGGAAGAACAAGTGTCTCAATGCAAACCTAACACCTCCATAGTAAGTGTGTAAAACTGGTCTTAAGATATAACTTGTTTTGTCTTCACATAAAGCTGATGTGGGATGCACGTTTAAAGTACTTAACTATGTTTTCTTTTTTAGATTGCATTTGTGGAACAAGCTGATCAGCTAGAGGAACTGGTGAAGACGTGGGGGTTCAAAACATCTGACATAAGACAACTGAGTAAACAGTATGTGTTTTATTAAAGACTAACTTCAGCAAATGCTGAAGTTTCTTCTTTGAGTGACGTGAAGCAAGTCTTTGGAATACATTTTGACAGGGAGCACATCAAATCCATATGATGCCCATAAATTTAAATGGGAAAATTTCCATTTCAATGCAGTAAGAGCCCTTTACCCAAAGGTGCCTATGTTCTGGATACGATTTGGAGAACAGTCCATGTTCTTTTTGCATTCCTTGGTTTGGGATTGCAGACATGGCTGAATGGTGCTGGCTGATGTATACTGCACAGAACAAAATGCTGCATTTAGCTTTCAGGCATAATCGCTTCTGTGCTTACAGAAGTGCCACTCTTTCTTAAGACTGCATTTTATACCCATTTTGTTAGTAGTGGTCTGTTCTTAACATGAAAGTCTAGATGTAGTAAATGTAGGTAACACTGACACTGCAACTATGAAACTCATTTGCTTGGACTTTGACACATTCCATGATAAAAATGAATATAATTAGAAGTTTTAAACCTTTTAAACACAGAGATTTTGACTTCTCACTATACTGCAGCTGGAACATTTTATTTCTTCTTCATCTACTGAAATCCCCCAACTTTATGGTGAAATGAAAATCTTTTGGACTGTATCTACTAGGCTTTGCATGTAGTAGGATTGTAAACAAATTGTGGCTTAGAATTGAGAGCTGCAGCATCCCTCTAGTAATCAATTGTTCAAAAAATTTTATGCTTTGCTGGAAGGCTAATCATACAATCTTTATGAATAATCAGATGTTTTCTTCACTTGAAATAGCCTGAGGAAAGTGGAAGGTGCAGATGAAGGTACAAGGTGGAAGAATATGGATCAGATTGAGGAAGACTTTTCAGCATTCATTTATAGATTGCAAGAAAACAGAAAGAAGGGGAGCTAAAAAGAGACAAAATTCAGTTAATTCAGTAGTCAGGAAGAAGGAAAGAGGAGTGATAGAAATGTTATGCAGTAAGAAGTTTCAGCACAAAACAAAATAGCCATAGCAACTTCCTAGTAATGTTGATGAATTCGTCTGTTTTATTGCATGAACATTACATGACAACATACAGAGTTACATTGTAAATAGGTCTTTCCTGTCAAGATACTGAGCAGAGCTTTTTTCACCGGTGTCTATGTCTGTATTTTTAGACACCGTTCTTCCATTAAGTCCTGAAATTCACTGATTTTATATATCTATATCGACATATAAATAATGTAGAGGAAAACTGGCATATAGAAAGTCACATTTGGTAAATATAATGGCCTGGGAGCTAGAGGCATTCCATCTATATCCATACTAGGAAACAACACTGTGTACAAATCTCTTTTTCAGGTGGATTCTACAGTGGAGTAATTTTAGTTGTGGTGAAGTCTGCTCCCTTTTGTTTGTTGCCATTTAGGGTGGGTCAATATTAGAGATAATTAGATTAATCATGCTCTTACATGGTTTTTCTCACAGTTAGATATATGTATTTTGCTGTGTAAATGGTATTATGAACTGCTTCATACCAAAAGATGGGTATGGGTAGAGGTACAGCAGGAGTTAATAGGCTGATGCTGGAAGACACAGGTTAATTTGTACTCACCATTTATTCTGGTGGATTTTACTGAAGCACACTCTCTAAAACAAAGCTAACTACCAGGGAGAATTTTGAGACATTTTGGATTATTACAATTTTATTTTCTTTCCTTAGTGAATTCTTCATGCCGGGATTGGTTGATACACATATTCACGCGCCTCAGTATTCATTTACTGGTACAAGAGTAGACCTGCCTCTTTTGCAGTGGTTGACTTCCTACACATTCCCAACAGAAGCCAAATACCAGGACAGTGGTTTTGCAGAAGAAGTGTACACCAGAGTTGTTGTAAGTCCTGCAAATGACCTTTACCTACTTGATGACATTCATTTTTGTGTAATATAGGTATGTTTTCAGAAGGTCAGCAGAAAGAGTAGAGAATGTTTTACTGTCATGGAAACCAGATAAAGCCAAGATAGCCACTGTTCTAATTGCTAGCCAAGACTGTCTGTTATTAGTTCCAGTCTTGTTGTGTTGTTGCTGGCAAGAGAGTTCCTTTAATCACAAGGTTAACAATGAACCTTTTATCACCTTTTCTGAATACAATGACCAACATTTAATCTACTCTCAGAATTAGTACAGCTAGCAGCTGCAGACAGGTGCTGCTCCATGCAGCAATAACCAAGTATAGTAAAAAATAAAATAAAATTCAGGGGATGTTCCCTTTTCTGTACAAAAATCCTCTATTATGAACTCCCCATCTGCAAAAGCACATGAAAGAGAAGATACTTTTCATAGAAAAATCTGGGGAGCTCTGAATTAGTAAAGGAAGACGTTGCTGGTGCTGAGGTCCTTATAATGGGAATGCCTTTCACTGCAGGGGCTTTCTATGGAGTCTCTCAATGGTACTGTGGGACAAGAAAAGACTGTGTTTGAGCTAGACTGGTTCTGAGCATTGTAAAATCTTTATGATCCACTGGACAGACAACAAGCAGCTAGGTTGTATTGCAGAGTACTAGTTCTGTCCTATAAATGAAATTTATCCTTTAATATGCGGAACTGAAATATCTCCAACAGATTAAATTATTTGGCCAACATAATTTGCCTTGCATTTGTCTATCACAGTGACAGCATCTGTTGCCAACATAATAGCATAATAAATAAGAAATAAATAGTTATACTGTTCTTTGCCACACAAATTTAAAAAGAAATTTGTACCATCTGCCATGGTAAAAACATGAAAGAGCAGCTTGGTCATAAGTTCTAGTGACAAGCACATATGCTTTCAACTGCTTAAAAACAGAGGTGACCTCACCTTCAAACTGTGTGCCCAACACAGTTACAGCACAGGCTGAGTGACACCAGCATGTCTAGAGTCCTCACCCTGGAAGGTGTGTCACAATATCATCTGGAAAAGAGCTGCCAGAGAGAGGTGGAAGTTAGCTGTGGGAGCCTGAACACCAGTTATTTTTGTTGATTTTAGAATTTCAGGTCAAATTCATTTTAGAAATTTAGATAATTCATTTTAGAATGTTTGATTCACATTCCCAATGTGAATCAAAGAGAACAGGGTCAGGAAAATGTCTTCACCTACAGAAGATACAGAATACCAGTCACTCTGCAGTGTTTGGTGGGGCCAGTAATAACCTTCACCTGTTAGAATCAGGACTAAACTTAGATGGAAGCAATGTTTGTTCCTAAGTATCATTGTGCTTTTGAAGTTGTAATGAAAACACAGTGGATTTTTTCAAATCAAGATCCTGTTTCCAACACTTTCTATACTCAGCAAAATAAACAATTTAGGTGAAATTTTCCTGCCTTTAACAGGAACCTCCTCTTTGTGCTGATGATTTGGAAACAGAATGTTTTTAATTCAACAATGTTGTTAGGATTTCAGAAGTAGAGGATTATGAATTTTAAAAGCAAGGAAAGACAAGGTAACTTGTGTCAGTAATGAAATAGCTATTTTTGAGACTTTTTTGGAACTCTTAGAGATTTTCATTTGAATATTGTAAGGAAAAGACAGAGCTTGGCTTATCAGATAGTTAGCTCTAGCCCTCCTCCAAACATTGTGCTGGATGTCTCACCTTCTATCTTATTAAAAAAAAAAAAAATTAAAAAAAACTTTTGAAATTACTTGGCAGCCAGAACCAAAATATAGTTTAAGCCTGTATGTTGGATAAGTGGATAACATAGTTTGCATCAGGCCTAAGGACAGGAGAAGCTACACATTTCATAATGAATTAATGTAATTAAAATACCTATTATAATTTATTATTATGTTCCCCAAAAGTAATGTGAAGAGGTGTCAACCTCCATTTCCTTTCAAATGGTGTATCAGGTAAATAATTAGCTCATAGTTTGAGCAGTTGTGCTCAGTTTACTTTTACAGTTAAGTTTGTTATTTTGTATTTGGGATCAACAACAGTTTTTGATACATGAAAACCTGACTTGTTTTTCCAGCTAGATCAGGTTGCTAAAAGAAAACCATCATCTTCCCCAAAAGCCTTGCTTTGCTAACACTAGATAAACAGTCCTTCACCTATGAAGTGAAAATTGAACAGCCTTTCATAACTAGGAAATAACAAAAATGACTAGTTGTATTTCTAAATATAAGCTGGAGTATTTCTAGTTTGGGGGAAAGAATATAGACTGGTTTTTATGGGTTTAGCCATTGCAAAAATTCTGTGAGGAATTCTTTTATTTATTAACCCTCAGACTTAAAACAGCTTTTATGAAATTAAAAATCTATATTTTTACCTTCCCACTTCACTGCAAAATTTCACAATAACTAAATGTTCTTGTAGTTTGAAATGAGACTGCCTGTTCTGTATTTTGGCAGCTTTACTGATTTTTTTCCAGACAGTTGAAACTGATTTCTTTTTTTAGAGACGAACTCTAAAGAATGGCACGACTACAGCTTGCTACTTCGCAACAATTCACACAGACAGTTCTCTTATTCTTGCTGAAATTATAGGTAAGTCTAACAGTGAGTTTTGAAGGATACTGTATGGATCATGTTAGTTGAAGGAAACAATATTTAGGAATTTTAGACTAGCCAGGAATCTGTCTTTATCCTAATGTGTTTTTTATTCATTGTACCTGTCACACTGTGTCCCCAAACCCCACCTGTTACCCATTTTCATTTAAGTACCTCTGTTGTACTGTTGCAACTCGTCTCTTCACTCCCAAATCTGCTGCTGGCTGAGCTTGAATTAGGTCTGCTGGACTTGTTCTCCAGCTGCAGCTCTCTGCTCTTTCTAACCTTTTGTCATTTGAGTTTTAAAAGAACTGAATGACAGGAGACCCAGTCAGTACATTAATTTCCTGGTACTCTGAGGTTTCAGCTGATAATCAATGTCAAAAATCTTCACACACCCTCAAAAATCAGAGAAGTGGAAGCTGCATCAGAATCTTATCCTTCCCTTCTGTTCACAGTTGCAAATGCCTGCTGTTTGAAAATGTTGTAGTTCTTGCAGGATTTCTCAAGGCTCAGACAGCTCATAAAGCAAAGAAATTTAATAAGAACCTCAGATTTCATCAAAAATTACCTAGTCTTTCTGATTTAGTAGGAATTTTTTAAAACTTTTACAATAAACAACCCAAATAATAAAAGTGGACAAAGAGATCTGATTTAGAAACACATTTGACAGCCTAGAATTGGGTATCATACACGTTTTACATATGAGTTCTGATTTATTCATCTAGCATGGGTAAATCTCAGCAAAGAAGCTAGAATAGATCTGGAAAATTCTCCCTCTAACGGCATGTGGGGGACCTGTTAGCAATTTTGCTCCTTTTCCTTAAGGAGAGATGGTTTGCTGAGATCTTTGTGCCTTCTCTCATCTCCAGGCAGTCATCTACTACAGCTACTGTACTTTGATGCTTGTGTTTCTCATCCACTGTGTCACAGCTGTCTATCATTAAAAATTCTGGTTGTGGTTAAACTACAGTAATCTAGCTCTCATTTATAAAGTTGGGTCTTAATGTTAAATGTCCTGTTTAAGTGTTGTTTGTTTCCTTATTTCCTCTTTTCTTTTTTTACTTAAAAGTCACGTGAATGGTCTTAGCTTAGAGACAAGACAAGAGCATAAATTCTGGTCATCTTAAATGAAGGTGGGTGGGGTGGACTTAGTTTTTTTATTTCAGTTCAAGCTTTGGTAATGGTTTCTGAGAACCAGTGATTCTGAGATTTATATTCTAATGCATCTCAACAGATAAATTTGGTCAACGAGCATTTGTTGGAAAAGTCTGCATGGACATGAATGAGAGTGTGCCACAATACAGAGAGATTACTGCTGACTCTGTCCAAGAGACAGAAAGGTAAAATGATAAAATTGATGGCATAACCTTTTAAAATAAGATTTTTCATACATCTGAAAAGTGAATCTCTCTAAGAGCTTAAAGGTGTGAATTTATTAGCAAAGGATTTTTTTCTTACTAAAGTACTATCCTCTGCAGTCCTGGCAATTCCTGCACATACAGCTGCTGCACAGCCCAAGAAGCATCTCTCTGGCTTTTCCAAAGAGAGGGAGAAACCACAGATCCAGGGTTTGAGAGGATATGTGTGTTTTCTGCTGCCTCTTTTCCTTCTCACAACTTTGTGTATGGAGGTCAAGGGACCATATATGATGGTGAGGTGGTAGCCAGTTCCTTTGTACTCATTAACTTCTAAGCTATTTCCTTCCACCATTTAGGCTAAAGCTTTATTCATCTATACCAGTCAAACTACTCCAACATGCAGCCAAGAGAATGAAGGAGAATCAAATGAATGCAATATTTGTAGTGGAGAAGAACCAAGACTGGAGTATGGCAGCTTACTGTCATATGTTTTTCTTATGTTTCACACCCATGCTCAGAAAACAGTTAAGCAGATATACAGCTCTTCTTATTTATTTATTTACTTATAAAAAACTATTTATTTACTTATACAAATGTTTCAAATGTCATGCTGAAAGAGAAAACCCTAAAGAGGGATATAAACATCTTATCACACTTGTGTGAGGTTGCTCCCTTGTTTTTACGAACCATGCTAAAGGCATGACAATGAAAGTTAGAAATGGTCATGTATTTCTAATGGTGTTTATATTTAATGACATTTTTAAAACATGTACTATTAGTTACCTTCACTCTTCCAGCATTTTTTTCCCCTGTGTAAACCCCCAGTTTCCATAATATGGCACAAGTCCTGCCATATGGGCCTGAAAGAAACAGAACTTCCAGTTATGATAGTTTTAAAAGCTTCAGAAGGATCTAAATAACTTTATTTTAAATACCTATCTTGTACCTCCAACTCATTCCTTTTTGGTTCTGCAATAAAAAATGTTTCTCAGCTTTGGGTGAGAGGTTGTCACAAGTACTCCATAGCTGTCTAGGGAAGAAAGCTGTGTGCTTCTTGGCATGGATCTGGAGTACTTACCTGAATCACAGCAATACAATTGCAGAACGATGAAGAGGTGTTTAATTAAGAGGGCAACATGTTAGTTGGTTTTTTTTTTTAGTTTGCTTTTTTAAGAATCTAAGAAACGTGATGTCACACTGTCAGAAAATGGACTACACTCATTTAACTTATTTAGAGTTAATATCCAGAAATATTTGTATTGCATGAATGGAAATAAGACAATTCCAATTTCTTCATATATTAAATTTAAATTTGTCAAAGATCTGAATCTACCATTCTTTATCAAAGAGGATTTAATGAAAAAGTTAGGGAATTGAAGTCTAGAGTACCATATATGGCACTATTAGTCATAGTCAGCTGCAAAGGTGAGAACCTCTGTTCAAGTCAGTTCTACTACAGAAGACTGTGATTTGAAGCTGAGCTTCTTTCCTCATAGAGAAGTACATAAGCCAACAATGTGTATTTTTGCAAAACATATTTCACCACATTTCATCAGTTTTGAAACAGCTCACACTGTTCAAAGAAAGTGAGAAAGAAGGAAAACAGCCATATTGAAATTTTGTGTTGTCACCTGGGCATTATTTTTCTGTTAGAGCTTCTGTTCAAGCCAGTATTTTATTATATCAGGTTAATCAGTAAGAGGAGAGACAGCTACTAGATGATAGCTAATTCACCTTGCATTTTGGATCTCAAAGGTATAGACAGTGGTGGGCTCAAACTCCTTTGGGCTTTGCAGAAGTCAAAACTGGGTCTCTCACTTCCATCTGGTGATCTAGCATGAGCTACAGGGCTGTGAATGTAGCCTCTAGCGTAATTTTCTTTTCCTTCTGAAGACATTTGGTAAAGTTTATACAATATGTGATCAAAATGACAGTTTTCTTACTATGAACTATGACATAAAAATTCACAGATATAGTGGTTTAGATTTGCCAATTTGAGTTTCCCGGCCAGTGCATCAAATAATGTGGTGGGTTTGGTGCTGGCTAAAATTGCCAGTACACCTACTAGAATTACTCATTTCCATCTGTGATATATGAATTAGGAGGAGGGCAAAACAGGTTCAAAACTTTAAAAAAGTTATGAAAAAGGTATGAAAAAACCCCTTTATTAACAGAACTAAAAGAATAAGAAGAATCAGAATAAACACCTTCAGAACACTTTACCTCCCTGTGCCCGACTTCTTTTCTTCCCCAACTGACAACATAGGGACAAGATCTGTCTTGTTTTAAATCAGTTACTACTTCTACAATAGTCTTTCATCAGTTCTTGTAGGGAGAGGAGTTTTCTCCTGCCATGCCATGGAGAATTCTCCACAAGAAACAGCTCTTTTGTGGCCCTTCAGTTCCACGATATAGCAGCTGCCCACGAAAAAATCTGCAATTGTGAAGCTCCTCCCATTTTCACAGCCTTCCCACAGCTGAGTTCATGGGCCATGTCAACTATTACTGTTGTAAGGGTGAGCTGTTCAAAAGCAAAAGTTCTCTTCATCTATCTTTACAATCATCTTTATCTCTGGGAAGAGAGGTCTTCTTCTTCTCTCTGTGGGGGCAAGGGGTCTTCATCACTCTCATCTCTCTCTGTTCAAGTTTGTCATGGGATCAAAACTCCTCAGCCTCCACTTTGTTTTTTCATCATGGATGCATCTGCTCACATCTACAGTTTGAACACTCCATCTCCCCATACGTTCTCATGAATTAAAGGGAATATTTTAGTGTATCATAATCCATCTCTGTGGCCTTACCAAAAGAACTTTCAGCCTCCATACTAGGGAATCTCCTCATTCTCCTTCCGTCTGGGACTTGACTCCTTCTTTACTGACCTTGGTGTCTTCATATTGTTTTCTACCTGTCGTCACTCTGTTATTTTCTCTCCCTGGAGAGGATTAAGGTCTGCAGGTCTCATCTGTGAAAGGGTTAATATCTTGTCCAGACCTGCAGATGGTCATGGGCAGTGGCCGCAGCAGTCACGGCGACGGATTTCAGGCTGCGCTGGGCCCCTCCCTCTGACTGGCACTCGCTGTGGGGACGCCGCAGGGGAGGGAGCCTGGCCCGGCCTGCAGCCGCTCCTGGGGCTCAATGGACCCAGCTCGGCACGGCAGATGACGGGGAGAGGGCTGTGTGAGCAAGGTGTTAGCAGCTGTGAACTGGCCCAGCTTTGGCCCGGGTCCCGCGGTCTCCCGTCCCCACCCTGCCGGTGCTGAGGCCCGGCCCCGCCAGGCCGCGCAGGCTGCGGTGGAGCATGGCCGGCCACACCAGAGCTCACTTACCTTTCAAGGCTGGAAGCAAGCGACAGAGTTCCCGGGCTTGTCTGTTTTTAAAATGTGGAATTCACAGAGGTGGAATGCTTCTAAATGGTTTAATAGGTTGTCAATTCTCAGAGCTAGCCAGATACTGGATTTTTCGAGGCACAGAGGAAGCTCTTAGCATCTCTCAGGGAAATAATTTCCATGGGTGGTTTCTTTTCTCCTTACTCCTCCTCTTATCAATTAATGGGAAACCAGCACAAGAGATCCTGTCCAGAAAGCATTTCAAACTGTCTTTCGGAGGTCACTTACATACACTGAACAAATGCGCATTCAAAGAATTTCCTCCTTTCAAAGTAGGAGGAAGTTTCGTTTGGCGATCTGCATCGATCTGCATCTAGCAAGTGTCTGCTTGCGGTTTTTTGTAGAGGTCTGAGGTAGCATTTTATTTAACAAAGTAAGTCTTTATTTTCTGGAAGGTATATCATCTGTATGCTAACACTAATATAAGCATTTCCAAAAAATCAAGGGTTCTTTAAGTGAATGAGGACATATGCACCCTAATGTAAGATATAAAATATTGCTGCATCTTCTAATACTTGGATTTGAAAAGGTTTAAACACTGCAATTTGAATTCATGGACAAAGTTTGCCTTGTTTTTTCTTTCTTCAATATTGCAGCTGTAGGTTATAATTTTGTTTTCAATTCATTCAATGTAGCATGTATTTGGTTTTCAGGGAGAACTCAGAATAATTACTGCTTGTCTAATGCTAAGTATTTAGATGAAAAAACTTTCATTAGTCTGTGTGTTCAGAGTCAAATTCAAAACTAGCATAATTCGGTGTCATTATCCTGACTTCATTGTGTTCCCTCTTTTTATTTCATCTGAAAATCTGGCTCAAGGTTCTGTAAAAAAATTGATCTGTCTGAAATGTTTAACAGGGTGTCCAAGTATATATTTTTTGTATTTTTCATAATCTATAACATAGAGGACAGATTTATAGCAACTTTATTTCTACCCTTTTCCAGGTTTGTTAAAGAGCTACTAGAAAAGAAAGTAAGTAGTGCTCTTTTTTGAATTCACTTCTGTATTCAGAAGATGCTGTGTGAACACATGAAATAAATAATCCTGCTATCCAAATCTGTTGTCTTAGTGAAAGATCAATAAATATATATCTTTCTGTGTAGTAGACAGATACCATTCTGAAAAATGTTCTGCTCGTCATGTTGAGAAATGTACACTTGTAATAGCATAAAATCAGTTTTCTGTGCTCAGAGCAGAGCAATGTCTCGTGCATTTCTCTATCAAGTTTGAAATACCTGGATTCCTAGAGAGGACAATCTCTAGTTTAAGAAAGGTGGAATTTGGTTCATCACTCTGTGGAATATAAGTAGACAGACTAATTGAAGGAATCCTCACCAGCAGAAATCATTGCTTTTTTAAGTAAAGTAAGTAAAGTTACTAATCCACTATGAAATCAATGTTTTAGGTCAGTGCATGCCTTATAGTGTGTTTCTAAAGAAATTCATGCTTACTCTTCTGTGGTAAAGATAGAAGTTTACACTCCAGTATTATACACAGTAGTACTTTTCTTATCAGCCTTTAGTTTTCAATGGCTTCTTCTGACATCCCATCTCAAAATGTTCAGGAGCAGTTGCCTGGATTTTAATGCCTGAATGGTATGTATCACTAGAGTGATGCCCAAACTCTTACTAGAGTAAGTTGGCTAATTTGCAAAGACCCAAGCTCCTTTTTTTCTGGGACATAATACAAGGAACTGGAGTCCAAGTTATCACTTACTTGCTTGTGCAAAACTCTTGCCTCTGACTGATGACAGAAACTGTAATCCTGTTGACAACTTCCTTAGGAAAATTTTAATCTAGAGTTGCGAGGTGTAAACCTCTGTAGTTCTTGGTGTCTTCCCCACTGTTTCCTACTCTATAACATATCTGGTTATACCACTATTCCTTCTGTCTAGGGAGTTCAGGGCTTTGTTGCTGTTATAAGTAGAGAAGATTGAACAAGAAAATGGCTTTGGTTTTACAGAAGCTTGCAGTTTTGCATCATTATATCTTCAATGGTCACAGAAGTGGGACTGGAAAATATCTGGTCGTTCAACTGACTTATTTCTCATCATCCATGTAGGCTGTAAGCAAATATGAGAAAGAATCCAGTGCTGCTGAAGACTGGTAAAATTTCAATGACTTGATGACAGTTCTAATGAAAACAAACTCTTTAATAAAGTTCATTAAAATTGTTGTAAGAAACCCACACTTTCATTCTCTGTTTCTGCAATGAAATGTCTAATGAGAGCAAGGAAATTACAGCTAAATTTGAGTTGGCAAGGATGCAGTAAGCAGCAAGCAATGAAGACAAAATGTAATTGCCATGTAGCTGCTAGTCTTACTTACGGTTTCTGAAAAATATATGTAGAATACAAACTCCATCTTCTATTATTTTCAGTATCCCAGAGTACAGCCTATAATAACCCCCCGCTTTGGCCCCTCCTGCACAGAGGACTTGCTGAATGCCCTTGGGGATTTAGCACAAACCCACGATCTCCGTGTGCAGGTAAGCTCTGAGAGCTCTGTGTGCCATTTAAATGGCATGGACAGACAGCATGCTGACCATCTAAAGATGCCTTTGGGAGGAGATAAACATCTGATGCCCTGGTCTCAGCATCCACTCTGTTGTAGGCTTGTTCTCTCTTTTTACCTCACAATCACATTGTGTGTTATTTTATCTATTATTTTAACATCTTCCAAAAACTGGGAGTGGGGCCATTGTGTTGCCACACTACTGGGATGTACTCATGTACCATCTCATATCACTTGTAAAAGAACAAATGGAGATACTTCTTTAGGTCCTGTGAAAACTTCTTTGGGTCTGAGGAAAAAAGAAATGCAAGGACTAGATCTAACTGTAGGCTTTACAAACGCTGTTTTTTCTGAATGTATGTTTAACATCAGGAGATTGCCCAGATTGTAATGTCAGGTTCAATGCTGTTTAAAGGACTCTATGCATTTTCTTGTTGCAGAGTCACATAAGTGAGAATGAAGAGGAAGTCAAACTTGTGGAGAACATGTTTCCTGCCTACCAGAATTACACTGAACTGTATGATAAAAACAAGCTGCTAACCAGCAAGGTAGCCACATTAAAAACTTCCCCAACATAACTTGCATTAATCCATGTAGAAAATATGATGGTTTTCTGTACTTACCTGAAAAATCTGTATTGTTCTGTCAAGGTCTGTGACGTCTGGGAAAAAGTAAATTTGTTTTATGTTCTCTGTTGAGGTGTTGGATCTTAAACAAGCCCACACTGTTACTAAGTATTTTAGAGGGGGTGAAAAATAAACATATTTTTATGCTTCCTGATTAATTTTCCAAAGGCTCCAAAAAGAATTAGTGCAGTGGGATTAGAAGGAAGCTAGGTAAAGCTGGTTTTGTATGAATTGGTAATTCTTGGATAGTACCTAGTTGTCCTTATATTGCAAGATACTGTCCAGTTTTTCCACAATGGCTTGCCTGAGGATTTCTTCTGTGGTGTTACATTACAACCAAATTAATTTTCTTCCTATGGAGAAGCAGCCCTCCCCGCTTAATTCTGATCATCAACCTTGCTTGCAGACCGGTGGACTTTATCGCTCTGACTATCCAAAAGCACTCTCATCTCATTTTACCAGCTGATTTTACCAGTCTTTGAGAGGCATAATATCCTGAAGAATTGAAATTCTGTACAGCTTTATGCTGTTGAGATAAATGTGATATACCTGCCCACTGCCATTACAGGTTGGAGAGCCAGGGCACACCTAACTAGATAGTGGACTGCCCATGCAAAAGTGAATATGAACAAACCAACTACAGTCAGAGTACTTAGACATCAGTCAAGTTCATTAAAAAATATGGGAGAGAATTTTCAGATGCACAAGGAGAAGCTGGAAACTCCCTGGGAATTAGCTCTTGCACTCCCATTTCTGTGTTTGAAGTCGTACCCCAGTAAATGACTTGCTTATTCTTCTTTTTGCATGAGAAATCAATACAGACTAGAGAAGTACGTACACAGTACTAACCTTTTTTTCCTCACATGGTCTTTTGCATGCTGATTTGATGTTCTGAGTGAGTGTTCTAAAGAGCATGTTTGTGCTGCAAAAGCACTGGTCTTAATTCTGTGACTTGTATGCACACAAGTGAAAATGGTAATGAAAAGTCATGATTACAGGTGCCTGCTGGAGTCAGGCTCCTGGGTATTTGGAAAGCATTCTATTAAACACAAGCATAGCAGTAGAACCTCAGATATTGTCTCCCCATCCACTCAAACTAAGACACCAAATCAATTTTTTTTTAAAGTGTTTTAAAAGCAGGGTTTTTTTTGAGCTGTTGCTGAAATGTTTCTTTTTAATAACAGTATGGATTGGCAGTGATACGCTTCAAGTAGCTACCATATGTAGGTCCTTATCTGAAGACGTGGCTATTCTCCTTGAGTTTTCAGCTACATTGAACTTGACGAGTAGAGATGGGAGAGGCACAATGTTATTAGGAGATGCTCAGTGAAAGCAGTCTCTGTGCAGTACTCAATTTTATGTGCAGATTGCTAGATCTAACAGAACTCTTGCTCTTCTCTTTCAGTGGGGCATTTGGCATATGAGGTAATGCCAATTAGATTTGTATGGGAATAATTGGTTTATGCACTATTAAATTATCCTATCCTATACTTTTATGTTTTTCTTGTGAACTTATTTTTAATGGCAGTTATGTAGGATAAGAAATAAATGTAGTTTATCAGTTGCATTAAAAATTAGATTATTTTACTTAAAGAATTTTTAATCTCTTTCTCTCTCCCTGGTGCAAACCTTTAGAGACCCAATAGGAAACATTACATACATCTTCCATTTTATCTGATTATTCCTAGATCCAGTAGTTAATTTCTGTGTTAGCTACAAAATATAAATTGTAAGCTTGCTATGGCACTGGGACAATTGGGAAGTTCTCGCTTTTGTCTTTGGTCACTGCAAATCACTGCAAGAGTAGGCACCTTAAATTTTAAAAATGCAAAAAAGCTGAAAGAATGATATGTCAGGCACACTGACAAACTAATCAGTTTTTTTCCTTGTAAGTTTAAGAGCTTCCTTCAAGAAGTGCATTAATTTCACTAGATGGTAACATGTTCTTTTTGGCTATTTAAAGCCATGCAACAAACCTCACAGCCACGGAAGTAAATGAAATACTGAGTAAATTGGTGATTCTCGTTTTCTTTAGACAGTGATGGCTCATGCCTGTCATCTTTCTGAAGAAGAGCTGAAACTTTTTAGTCTTCGTGGAGCTGCAATTTCACATTGCCCCAATTCTAACTTTTCGTAAGTTAAAAAAAAAAGAAAATAGGAGTGGTGTATAACTAAATAAAGCTGTTGTTTGTGTAGTACCCTGAGTCAATACTACCATTGCAAAGCTATTTATATGATACCTCATTACATCATAAATTATATTGGATTGAAGATGACCATTCATCATCCACTTCTGCACAGCGTGCTCTGGACTGATTTGTGGTCTTTCAGTTTAGTTATTGCATCTGTAACCATGTATATACATATTTATTTTCTAAAAGTTTGTTTCTTTTGACTGTTCTGTCAGTAGTAGATTCAAGGCATCTCCCTTCCCCCTGAAGTGTGCTTATGTTTTGAGGGAATAGACTATAGTCTTCTTTCTATTAAGCAGACATGAGATACTGCATGTATCCAGCCAGAATAAATAATAAAACAAATCTTGTCTTTGTCATAAAATGACTCTACAGCCCTGCTTTTCCTGAACTTTTTCTGCATGTACCCCACAGAACACATTTCTTCTTCCAATCTAGGTTGCGCAGTGGTGTCTTAAATGTGCGAAAGGTTCTCGAACACAATGTGAAGCTTGGTCTTGGCACAGGTTAGTAGTTTGCTGTGAAAATGGTTTATTCTGGAAACCATTAGGAGATACAAAAACATTCACCTTTTAACATTTAAAAGTCAGCATATCTCCAACTTCTGGTCCTCATTTGTTTTCTCCACTGCAGTAAGGAGGTCTAGACTACTGAAATCTAGGGTTGGTCCAAAACTGTTATAAATGAAAACAAGAAATTAATGAATAGTTTTGCTGTTGTGAGCTTAAAAAGGGCTTGAACAATAACCTTTTAGGCTTCTGCTTTTGTGTTGTGTTCTATTCACCTGACTGTGTGTGACAGCACCTTTATTGGGAATTTATGCCTCCAGAGACATTGCTTAGCAGGAGAACTTGTTGGATTTACCACATATGTCTTTCACAAGTTTGAATTAAAGCTTATAGAAATTTAACATAGAGAATTATACCCAAAGCTTGTTTCTAAGAGTCTGATCCCTTCTAGATGTTGCTGGTGGATATTCAGCTTCTATGCTTGATGCTATAAGGAAAACAATGATGGCATCTAATAGCCTTCAGATCAATAAAGTGAATGAAACAGGACTAACTCTTGAAGAAGCTTTTCAGCTGGCCACTCTGGGAGGAAGCCAAGGTAAGAAGAAGATTATTTGGTGTGCACACAGAGGGCTACAACTCTTTTTGATTATATGTCTCCCTGTCTTCATGGGAGATTCACAGATTTTCTGGTGCCAGAATGGGATCTAACTGGTGGGCAGAGATAATCCTTCAGTTTCTCATACCCATACTAGGCTTTTCAGAGAAGTGTACTCTATTAATGCTGAGAGTTTAATAACAAAATCTTAATGGCTTTCCAGGGTTGTACATTTGCTTTGGAAAGATCCTCAGAATTCTTAGTCATAAGGCTATAAGTGCTTGTCTATTTAATGTACCAGCTGGAAATTTGTTTTCTCAGCAGCCATCACATAGAAGAAAAACTGCAATTACTGTAAAATCATGCATTCTATTTGTCATCGGTTTCTAATTTTGCTTGTGCTTTTTGAGCTGTAAATGAGGCAGTTTGTTGCAAATCAAAACATCATGCAAATCACTCCTCACTCAGGGAAAAGCAGAAAGTGTAAACAGGCTTTTCACCATGGTTGTCCAAAACACAGTTGCATCTGCAGAATACAGTCATATAGTGTATGTGTTATCCAGTTTTGGAGAGCTAGTTTTGTTATGATCAGTGTGCACATAGAAATAGATACCATTAAAAAAGTTTTAGTGGAACTGGTATGATTTAGCAGAGAGGAAATCCACACATAAGTGGAAATCTATTGTTTCAGTTAGCAGAAATGAGCTCACTGCCTTCTTAAGCATTGGTCCCAAATCTTCACAGTGTAACATGTCTGTAGCTGTCAAAAAGCTCCATTGGGAATTATTAATGGAAGCTTAAAAGATGTAGTGAAAATGTCATCAAACAGGTCTTCTAAGGACTGTGTTTGAATTCCTGGAGAGTGTAATGGGGGAAATAGAGAAGACAGAAGATGAGTAGGGAACACAAAGTGTTCTTTTTCCTGCAATATATACTGTTCCACAAAGTGTGAGAATAAACCAAGACACAGAAAGGAAGACTTACAAAAATCCCAAACTCTTATGTGGTTTCCCTTCCCAGCTTCTCTTGTGCTTTTTCTATATTAGGTTTTTCTTAATAAAGTGTTAATTTTGTATATTGATTTTAAGCTGTTTTATCCTTACTGAATCACTTTTAAGGGTAGAATATAAATTACTTTTACAAGATTTCAGTAGCCTGGATACTGAAAGGGAGAATTTCGGTAGCAGAAATTTAAATGTGTGATTATTTTGTGGGAATCATTTGCTTTGTTAAGACTTCTAAGCACTTGTCACCCTCTTGTGTTTAGTCTAAAAATTGCATTCTGCTCATAAACCTGAAGGAACATGAGATCATTTTAGTTGAAACTAGTAGGTAATCAAAATATTTCATCATTTGTGAGAGTTTAAATGTCTTTAATATATTGTGATATTCTTGTCACTCACAAACTTCAATGAAGACTGAAGTTCCTTTATTAGATCAATCTGAAAACAAATGAACAAAATATTTGCAGATACGTTCTTTGATAACTGAATTTCAGAGTACTGGAAAAATTAATTTTATTCACTGATACTTTCTACAAGTTCTAATTTATTTCTAAAGAGGCACAAAGGCTTCTCTTTAAGTATTCTAAGCACTTGCAAGCACCATAATATATAGCAAGCACCAAGATGAATTTTTTAGGTTTTCAGGGCATGTGGACCTGAGAACTTATAGATGTAATGAAACTTTGAAAAAATAAAGCTAAATAACAGACCACAAGCCAACCAAGCCTTACAGATGGGTATGAGACCTTCAGACTGGCTATAATTATTTTTCCACACCATATTGTTCTTTGTTCCTTCTAATTGCAATTACTCACTGGACACCTCTTTCATTATCATATTACTATATATTACTATTGAAATAGGCTTATACAACCTTTCAAAATTGCTTAAACTTTTTTTAAAAATGCTGTCTAATACTGCCTTAGCAAGGTGAGTGCTATAATATGCTTTACTGTTTCTCTGACTTAATTTCATTGCTTCATTTGGAGTTTGAATGTATTTGCAATATAACCTATTGTTTCTTAAGTCTCTGAAGAGCTCAGGTGATAACATACTCACTATTCAATTTGGTTTTGGGTTTTTCCTCATAATCATTTAAGTTTTTGTTTGTCTTATGAATATTTCAAGTAAGTTGCCAGGTACTTCTAAATGGTAGAAGGAGGCTGGTCCTGAAGACATGTTTATGAACTTGTTTTCTTCCTCAGCTCTAGGATTAGATGATGTGATTGGAAACTTTGAGGTGGGGAAAGAATTTGATGCACTGCTAATCAACACGAAGGCTTCAGATAGCCCTTTTGACTTATTCTCTGCTGATGATTTTGAGGTAATCAGAACAGGATTCATGATCAAAAAAAAAAAAATGGGGGAATGATGTGGAGAAGGTCCATGATACAGACAGAAAATGTCTCTTGATTCTGGTGACAAGAATTGGGTGTACAACAACACTGCTGTCTGTGCTTCAGCCTAGACATATTTCATATATTTCAAATATTTCCATATTTGTTTTTTTCTTCAGAACCTTGCTTATCCCAGTGACTGCCATAACACCATGAGAAAAATGCATGTAATATTTCTAATGCATGTTTTATTAGCCCAAGATAAGTTACAGTTATCTATTTGCAGTGACAAATGGCAGACAAGAAAAAGCAATTTAATTTTAGTCAATGCTTAGAGTTCAGACTGAAAAATGGCAACCTGTTCTCAGAGAAAGGTTAGGTTGCCTTTTCTACATTGCTGTTACAAAATGAGGCAAGCACTCAAGATGGCTAATTTGAGTTAAAAGCACAGTTTTTATGTTAACATTAAAGCAGTGTTGGTCTTATGGTATGGAAATAGCTTCTCATTCAAAAACGTTCTCTGACTAAATAAGACAATTAAGAGCAGTTACCTGAATTTATAGATGTGGCCAGACTGCCTGGAAACAATTCCAGTTCTATAAAAATTATTATTTTTAAGTTTAAATTGAGACCTTTTAAGCTAAATTATTGGTCTTTAGCACTTGACAAACACTTAAGTTTTGCCTTATTTTCAAAAAGTACATTATGTATGTTAAGTTTTGATATCAGTGTTACTGGGAATATTTAGGAGAACTGTTTTTATCAGTCCTTTCAAGTTCCAAATGATTATGATTCAGGACTGCAGATATTGCTTTCTGAATTTGTTTTCTCCTATTTTTTATAGGACACTCTCCAGAAGTTCCTGTATCTAGGTATGTTTTGATTTTCAATTCAAGCTGAATTCTCATTTCCTACATCAAATGTTGTGTAAATTAATGTGGGGGTTAATAATAAATTTATTTTTATATAAGTAAGTATACATTTCTTTGCAGTAATTAAATATATTTATTCAACTCTTATATGAACATTAAAATGTCTCTAATAATTGGTATTAATATTTTGCATTAATAAATAAAAACTGGTTTATAATTATTTGTAAATAATACAAATAATGCAGTGTCCAGACCAGGGCTGTGCTGCTGCTGTGTTGTGATGTTGAGGTGCCTGGTGCAGCTCTGGCCATAATGTGTCATGCTCTAACGAGACTTTTGCCTTTCTGAGGATCTGTCTGGGTCACACCAACTTTCTTGCTGGCTGGTTCCCCAGACAGTTCTGATACTGTGCAACAAATAATTTTCTGTACAGATACATAACATTTTGGGGTTTGGATCTACTGAATGTGCATAAAATCCATGACACTATTGCAGCTGTTGAATGCTATGTTTATTTTTTTTAAAAAAAACATGGGATGTTAAACATTTATTGGTCTTTGTGGTATCCCTGACTATTTCTCTCCAAATGGGCTTTCTTAGTTCTAGGAAATGGTTGCTACAAATAATGTGTTCTAAAACCGTTTTTGTGGACTGCATAATTTTCATTTATTAAAACAGTGTTTGTATTTATGTGTAAATCTCTTGTTTGACCATGTTATTTCAGGCGATGACCGGAATATTTCTGAAGTGTATGTGGCTGGAAAGCAAGTGGTTCCTTTTTCAAGCTCTGTATAAATCCATTTTACTTTTGCAAAATACTCTGCTGATCATTCTGCATCTGATTCGGAAAAGGTTGATTAAACACAGTGCCTGGTCATAAGGAATGACACCTTACTTTTGGATAATGTTATAAAACTTGCAAGCATTGAAAATTTTGTTAGACCTTTCGAGAATTACTTTACCGAAATTACTACCAAAATAGTTCTAGAGGAAATGGCTATTTAAATTTCTTTGTAAAAAATAGCATTTGTGCATTGATAGGGGATCTGATAAATAATTTATTTAAAGAGGACACCTGCTGCTGTGTTTAATAATAGTATAGGAAGCATTATGTGGAACGATGAGATGTTCATTGTCTATAGGAATAAAAAAAAACCCCACTGCTTGTAAATTGATTTTGCAGGTAATAAATATCATGGAAGAATGCAATTTCCATAATATTATCATCAAGTATGAAGAAATCAGTGTCATTTTGGGGAATGGAGTTTTCAGTTTTTCCTAGGAGCTCTTTTAAAAAAAATTTAATTTAAAACATTATTTTTGAAGAGGAGTTAAGTAAGAATTGTGTGTTTATAAATAAATAAATAAGGGTCCTTATTAAAGAATTTAGAATTGTCATTTGTAGCCAGACACTCCATTGAATTAGCTTGATCTGAGTGATGGCTAAATGAAACTTCTGTTAAATTAGAAGCAGGCACTAAGATATCTCTGCAGGCTACACAATGGCAAACAAATTAAGAGGGTTTTCTGGACTAGAGGGAAAGCTTCATCTAGTTCAGCATCCTGCAGAATCTTCCCAAACTCATTTGCTCCTGACTGTTCAGACAGGATGATATGATATCCCTTCTTCTTTCTGTAAGGGAAATGAGTGCATTTAAAAAATTTCCAAGAGAAAAGGTCTCTTTCTGGCCATTACCACCTTTGACTTGAGGTGAAAATCAACACTGAAAAAAGCAGCTTAGCTTTACTGTGCTCTTTGCATTTTTCAATGTGGCAGCCATAAATCCAGCCCTGTTCAATTACAGGATTCCAGTTTAAAAATATGCCCTTTTTTTTTGGAAATCTGAGTGACTTCCTTTCCTAAAAAGGCATATTTTCCTCCTTATTTTTATTTTTATTTTTATTTTTATTTTTATTTTTATTTTTATTTTTATTATTTTTTTATTTTTTAGTAAGATTTGTTTGATGAGGGGATTTCTTCTTGTTTCTCTATTATGTTTTTGCAACACAAAGAATGTAAGCTTTAATTTCAGGGTCATTAGAGACCAATATTGTATTTAGATACTGTAAACATGGTTTTAAGGCCTGCTTCAAACTTCTTTGATTTCACTAAGCCTTTTTTCGCACTTTTATCTCACTGCCTGGGGATATAGGACTTACCTCTGTTCACAAAACAAGGGAGGTCACTGCACCAAAGTTTCACTTCATGTCTACTTCAGAGAGAGTGCTCGGCCCAATGCCATTCATAATGTTCTGATTTTAAAAGCTGATTTTTAGAGCTTATGTATTGTTATGATTATGCTTACATGAGACAGCACAGAGTCAAGGAAAAACGTAACAGCTAATTTGGGCACCTACAGCAGTACAGTCTGTTCATTGTGGTTTTTTTGCTGAAGCTGAGGGGCCGTACCAAACAGCGGGGAATAACCAGCAGGTGTCTTGCAGACATCGCCTGGACGCAGCCGCTCACTGAGAGTTCGCTCAGGTATCTTTCAGGCTGCTGCACTGTGCCGCTGCTTGCCGAGGTACAGCCTTCCTACCCATTATGTCCAAAGACTTCTAAGGCTTTAGGAGTCAAGATCTAAGGATTAAGATTTACACATTCCATCAGGGTGTTTTCTCAACCATTATGTTTTTCATGTGTCCCAATCACCTACGCAGTAGCACACTTGTTCAGCAAATAACAACCATTCAGCTCTTTAACTTGGTTTCCTGATTCAGGGACATTTTTTCTCATGAATTTTGACATGAATTTAATTGACCAAATTTCACATTTCAAAACCAAAGAACTGTGAGACACATGTTTTAATCCTCCCAGTTACTGTTTGAAACTATTTTTAGGGAATTACATGATTTTCAGCTTTGGCCTTCCTGTGGTGGAGAAAGATCACACAGACTTGTGTACAATGTATGCTAGTGCCCTACTTCTTTGCCTCCAGAGCTATGAATTAAATCAATGCTTTTATTTTAGTGGTAGTCTTAACTGTCTCTGACTTAATTGTTTTCCCATTATTTTGTGGTGTTTTTAAGAAAGGGATTCAACATTTCTTCTTAAAATTCTTTTGGGGGTGGACAGGTTGCTTATTTGCAATATGAGAACACACTAAAACTTTTAACAAGTTCAGGACTACACTGCTGGCCCAGTTACAAAGGGACTCTCTATGAATATTGCTGCCTGTGAGCTTTGTATCTGTATTTTTTTAATGGGTCATTAGCAGTTTTGTTAAAATTCAAGGATAAGGTAGGAACTCACCTTTTGATTATAGCTTTTTTAATGTCTAGTATCCAGACATTACCCAGACATAGCAACAGAAAATGATCTTTTTTAAGAACCTCAGCTAGGGGAGGAATTTCTGCCTGCAGGTAGTGCCATGGGCTGCCTCCAGCACTCTGCAGTGCTCAAGACCAGGAGGAGTGAGGCCCAAAATGGATAGCATTACATTGAATGCTGAGGTGTTTAGGGATAAAGGAGTCTGAATCTGATGTTTGAGGAGGCCAGTGGAGGAATTCATATAACAAATAAACTGAGGCTCTTTTGACGGCAACTTGTAAGTAGAACTGAATGGAGAAAAAATGTGCTGCAAGAAAAGTTCGGTGGGGTCATTTGAGGCAAAAGCTTGTTTAGTGGAAGATGGCTCATGCACAGAAAAATTTAAGGTTTTAGATCAGACGAAGAACGTAGTAATCAGAATTCTCTGAAGTAATTTAGGGAAAATGACTCACTAAGGAACACTAAAGATCCCACTGTGAAGTTATGGTCCTTGAGACTCTGTGCCTGTAGATTGCCAAGATGTTTGTTTTGGTGGGGGTGGATGAAAGCAGTTACTGCTGAGACTTACACATCTACACTATAAGAAGCTCAAGACTACATATATTCTGCTTCCTTGGACAGATGCCCCTACTGCATATGCACTTTGAAGCAGGCCAAGTAATGGGCTCAGGTTCTTAGAGTCTCTTTTAGAGACTGGAGTATATTTGGAAGGCAGCTGAGCCTACAGTGTAGTTTCCTCCAAAACAAGCTTAATTCTTGTATACCAAAACCACCCTGAAAACTGAACTAAGGTTCAATAAAGGAGAATGACTGGGAATTTAGAACAGCACTATTGTCTCAAACCAAAATGCTAATGGAGGCTAAAACTTGAGCTATTCCCCTCTGTCCTCATCCCATCACAGAACTTAGCAGCAGAATACAAATTGAAACAACCTTCTTCTACCTTCCTCCCTTTTCCCCAACACCACCCCCTCCAAAGAAGAAAAAAAAAACCACAAAAAAAACCCCACCAAAAAACCCCAGACCCTAAAATGAAACAACTGAACACTAAGGGGATATGAGTATGTGGAAGAAAATAAAGGAATAATTTTCAGTCAGTATAAATTGACACATGTGACAGTATAAGTTGACTGATTTAAGATAAAACCTCTGGAAAAATGTACATGCAATTCCAGATGTCTCTCCCCACAAGTTCTCTTACCAGATGGTGGACGAGATCTTTCTTTCTTAATATGTCTTTATGTTCAATGGTAGCACACCATTCAGAGAACAGGAAAAATAAAGGGTATTTGTGTAGAGCTTGCTTGTTGGGACAATATGCTTACTGTGTTCTGTGGTCAGTTGAGCACTTATTTATTATAAATAGAATGTATTTGAATTACTGTTATATGTTGATCTCATTGTGTCACTTTAGGTTTTGAAATACTAGTAAGAATTGCCTATGCATTATGCAGCATTATTTGAATTATTCATGTGTGGCAAGTGGAGTTCTGCACTTTAAAATGTTGCCTTGGCCTAATGTTTATATTTATGCTGTATTTTTGTGCAATCTTAAAGTTTTGTAGGGGAAACAAATGTGTATTTTTTCACTGTACTGAAATTTTCAGTAAGCTGGCTTTCTTTAAGAAAAGGGAACTTGAAAATTACCCTGTCTAAAAGTCTGGGCCTGATTATACACTCATGAATAGAAAAAATTATAATGGTTTTATGATTAGTAACATTTAAAGTAAAAATAAGTGCAGATAAATATAATTTTTAAAATATAATTAGATAATGCAATGTAAGTTAGCAAAAGATATTATTGTTGAATATCTACAGTTTTATGGAGCAAAAGAGAACACAGTTATTCTTGATTATTAAATTAAAAATGATGCTTAAGTCTTGAAAAACAAAAAACCCCAAGTTCTTTCAAAGAATATCCCAGTTTTAAAAGGAAAAGGTACTAATGTCATTAGTCAAACAAGCTGTTTAAAAATATTATTTTTAGCCTTTCCAAGGAACAATCAATAACAGATGATAAGGTGGACATCTTTTAAAGCTCTGGATTTTCATGAATAAACCATGCAGCCCGGTATGTGTTAGGAGTAAACTCACCTGTAAAATTATAGTTTAGAGTCACAGAGTAAGCTGAGTTGGAAGGGATCCTCAGGGATCATCATGTCCAGCTCCTGGCCCTGCATAGCACTGTTCCCAAGGACAGGGAAAAAATGAATTGTAGAAGACATTTCAAAAGACGGGTAGCAGAATACAAAATACTGCAAAGTAGAAGGGAGATAGATAGAGGAACTCATAAAAAGAAGATGGCGTGTCTGTGAAATTTTAGGTGTGAAATGCTCAGAAAAAAAGATACATTCTCAGGTAATATTCTATTAGATCATGGATATCATTCCTTCTAAAAGTCATTGAGGTCCAAAACCTGACCAGGTTTCCAAAGCAATTGCTTACATGCTTAATAATACAAGCCCAAATACCTGCTCATGGCATAATTATGTAACTCTTGATAACTTCTAGACCTCTGCTCCGAGATTTAAATCAAAAGTACCTGTAACAGCTGCAGAAGAAATATCATATAGGGGCATATTATTTTTTATCGACACCTGTCCTGTGAAACACTGGCCAGAGCAGAGGCTGACTTAGTCTGGTCCCAGTGGAGAATTTCTGCTCCTGCATGCCCCAGACATCATTCCCTGTCATGTGCCTTGTCATGCAGTGATAACTGAGCCCAGCACAGGACAGAGTCTGGTGTGACTGAAGTGACTGAATACAAACTCTTTTAAATATCAGATTGTTTAGAAATTAAGCTCATTGCTGAGACCACAGCACATTTTAAATTACACAATCATATATCTAGTACTGAACTTCTAGATACTAGGACTTTGGCTTAAAGCTGTGGGGGTTTTAAGCCCTTGCACTATATGTGCAACAACTCGTGCTTCTCTCAGCAGAGAAACCAGTCAATGACATCCGTATGGTATGCAAAAGGGTAACCACAAAATCAACAAATACCATTCTTGGGAAGCCAAAAGGACATCATCAACATTAACAACAATCTGTTTTTTAAAGTTAATAGAACTGTTAGTTTCTGTGGAAAGGTTGAGAAGTGTTTTTGGGAGGCAGTTTCCTGGAAACTTCAGTGTAAATTCTTTCTTAGAAAATGCCCAGTATCTGTGTGCTCCAACAAAAAGGTCCCTTGTGGCTTTTGCAGAGGCAGTCACTTCTGAATGCCTAGACCCTCGCTTTACCCTGTCATGACTCAGAAGTGTGTATTAGCTTTAATTCTGGCACTGATTTGTGGTTTCTCACAGACTTAGTTTGAAAATAACTATGCTAAAGGAGTGGAGCTGGGAGAAGGATAAGGATAAAGGGCAATCTTAAGCCAGCCTGCCTAATGCTTCAACACAAAATATTTATCTTACCAGGTAGCTGTTGTTATGTTTGCACAGCTCTTAGGCTCAAAGATTTAGCTTAATGACTTGAGTCAACTCGTAAGAATTGAACTCAGTCAATGCTAAGACATAAACTGTGAGGCAGTTTTGTTGGCAACTGAAGGCTGTAAACTGCATCCTGTCTGGCCTTGTGGCTTTGGAGCTGAGTTGTGTTCTCCTCTAACAACTTCTACTGATAAAGCTTTCAGAAAGCATTAGCATGTGCTACTTACCTGAGGATATTTGTGCCCCTTGCTTCATGACAAATTTTCTTTCCCCAAGAGAGAATTCACATCTTGCTGGAGTAAGTTTTTCTGATGCTGATTTGTTGGCTTGTCACCTGTTGTGCATAAGCTCTGGTTCATGTGAAAATGCCTAACTGGAGTTAATGTTGTTGAATTTATCCTTCCTTTTGTACTTGTGCAGTTTCACAGAAGAACAATGTATTAGGAGAAATGGTATATGCGATTACCACTGTTCTGCTTGGTTTTGGTCATGCTAAATAGGAAGTCATGTACTGTTGAAACAAAATAAAGAGGCCTTGTGTTTACACCAACCCTTGTCTCTTTCTGTATTTGACTTTTGAGAAGAGAGAGAAAGCTGACAAGCTAACTTATAAACAATGAAGGCCTAAATACACAGCAACACACCCTGTTCTCTGAGGAACCTGGGCAAACCCCATCACTGGAGTTTGCAAAATCTGTTTAGTAAGTACAATGTTATTTTAGGGGCTCATTTCAAAGTTCTTATAGGTTTTGATATATCTTTGTTACCAGATTTGTTTGCCTTATAAATCGAAGTCAGTGCTTCAGTAACTACTTTATTTCTTTTGTGTTGAAGTACACTGTGCTGAAATGATTGCTTCTTCTGCTTAACAAAAGATCTCTTTCGTGTTTCTTCACACATACGTGTTTTTTCGCTTTCTTAATTTTCAAAGCTTAGGCATAAAAATGTCCCCAGTCTAAGCAGCTCTGAAACGCACCAGAAGTGGATTTTCTTAAATCAAAAACTGCCATAAGAGGACCACTAATTACACACTGAGGAATTGTATACTGAAATGTTGAGAATTATGGGCAAGCTGTCACCAACTTGCTCAAAATTTTGTACAAGAGAAATAAAGCTGTTCTGTATTTTCATCAACCAGCAGAGAAAAGAAAATGAAAACAACTTCTTTATAGACTACTGTTCTCAATAGGAGGGCCCATTTAGGCTTTCAGAATGGGAATTCTGCTACTTGACACTTTACCTTTTAAAAACACCATTAAGAAATGCTTTTGCAGTATTTCACTGGAGTACTTTGTTGAGAATTACCTGTTTAAAACAGTATGAGACCCAGATGCAAGCAGAGTTCTTATGGTATAAAGGGTTTCCAAGTCAGTTTGAAAATCTGAGAGCCTTTGGCATGCTCTCAGTAAATCTCAGTATATAATTACCTCTTTCACTACAATGAGTTGATGCAGGCACAGTTTGTACAAGTGAAAACAGAGTTTGCAATTCCCCCAAAAAGTCACTGAATAATCCTGAACTCTTTATCAACATGAATTTAGCAGTCTTCTCCCATGACTGTAAAGCAGAAAACAAAAAATTTTCTTGGTTTGAGATCAGATACTGGATCACTTATATTTCAGCTTGATGGGTTTGCAGTTCATAGTTAAAATGCAAAATGCAGGTTCTTGCCCTATGCTTTTACTCTGTAATCAGCAGTCTTCCTTTCAAAGTATGTGACTGTATTCTTTCATTATTTTTAATTAAATACGGGCATTAGGAATTACCTTAAAAATATGGCATAAAAGCCATGAAGTCAAGCTGAAATATGAGCTTCCTTTTATATTTTGTCTTAGTTGTAACATCTCAAAGTATAGAAGTATTTTTCTTCTTAGAAACTGAAAGTATTAAACAGTAGGTACGTTTTCATCTCAGCCCCTGCTTGAACCAATCTCACCTCCCAGCATACTGGTGAAAGTTCACAGCTGTCAGAAACCCAACTTGTCTGATAATTCATACAGAATATCAATTCCAGCTAGCTAAGGGTGGCATTAATGCTCACTGTATTCTCTCAGTGCTCTAAAAATTACTCCCTGGCCTTTTGTTTGTAAGAAGGAATCCCCATTGTTGTATTTTTATGACTTGTGAAACAGCAAACGATGTGCCACATGAGATGAGCACTGTCTTGCAGGACACAGCAGCCAGTGCTGAGCAATCCTCCCTACCCCAGCCGAGGGGCTGCATCTGGGCATTTCCAATATTGTTATACAAAATCCGCTGCTTCGAGGGGTAACAGGAAGAAGAGAAGAGTTTGGAGTGTGTGCAGCAGATGCTGTTACAGAAAGAGAGATTCACAGATTTTGTAAGTGTAAACCTATAAAGAATTGACAAGTTGCAATCCTCTGCTCTGGCCTATCCAAGTCAGAGAGAGGTGTCTGAGGCACCCATGAGGCCATGTCTCACATCTTCATCGTGCACCCACCCTTGGGGCTGAATGTCTCAGTGTAACACTGTAACACAGAGCTGGTTTGAGTGGCCAGGATTAGAATTGTTTCAGGCACAGTATGTATCAGCAACATAACACTGTGCACGTGCTAATCACTCAGTGTCTCAGTTTATTATGGGTCTTGTTCCCTTAAGCGTAGTGCTGTGATGAATCCCGTGCTAACAATTTGGGAGGTTGCTTTGACACCCCTTGCTCACCTAGCCTACAGAAGCATCCCAGATTTTCCCAGAAAGCCTGTTGGAGAGCAGGGAGATCCCATCACGGGTGCATCCTCATCTCAATGACGTCACAAACTGTCAAATTAAATCCAAATTTCTGCATTTGCAATTCTTCTGAAACAAAAGCCATCTCAATGCAGTTTATGTGCACAGACAGCTCTCAGCTGCACCCCTGCCTGTTTTGGGAGCTGCTGCTGTTCTGTAGCAGCTGCCCCTTCTGGCTGTAGGTGCTGATGTGGAACTGAGACCAGGTGAGTCAGCATGAGCTACCTTCATAAACTCCTGCACTTCAACTTTTCCTCTCTTTAAAAGGTGCGGAAAGG